GCGTCTATCACGCGCGAAAAGATCTAAAAAGCGGACAACTCTTTGCGAGCACGATTCTTACTTTTTTTTTTAAAAGAACTGTTTTCTTAGCTGACAAGCTAGCAGATCTACTATTACACTCGCTCACTTTTTAACTATTACGAATTCTTTTTTTTACACACGAATTCGTTGTTAATATATCGGTTTATTCGGCCACACCGAACGTATTAGCTAGACTTGTATTATTAAGATTAAAATGCTAAATCAATCTTTTGACTTAAGGATATGACTTTAATCTTATTAACCCTGCTCAAGTTATAGACTTTTTTATAATTAATAGCTATATCGCTATGTGTTTGGAAAGCTATAAAGACACGTATAGTAGCAAGCAAAAAAAGTCTTTTTTCGAAATCTTTTTATAAGATTTTGATAGATAGACGATTAAGATATAAAGACACGCTTACCGATCGATCTGCCGCTAGTTCCGAGAACACCTTGTAATAAGTAGAGTATAAGTCAGATTAGCTAAAGATATCTTTTAAGCATTAATCTTCTACGCTTTAAGTTAAGAAGACGAGCTAAAGCTATAGACTTTTGTTTATAAAGATGCTAAGAACAAAATCATCGCGAAACAAAAGGTTAAGGAGGCTAAGAAAATGGTACTTAAGCAGAAACAGCAAGCTAAAGATAAAGCAATAACGGCGACGGCACTTATTGTTACACTAGCGGCACTTGCACTTGCTATTACACTTGCAATCGAGCTTACAATTGAACTTGCAATCGACCTTACAACTGAATCTATATGTTGGATTGCTTCCAAGCGATTGGGAATATATATTCGTAACTTCGTAAGGTCGTCAAAGTACTTGCAATTGCAAAACACTCGGTTGATAAGGTATCTGAATTCTGTCTGCTCCCTAATGCTCAAAGGAGCTGATTCCTTCTATATGATTAGAAGGAATCACGTGCACTAGCTAGCTAATAGGTTTACTTGTCAAGTTGGGGGTCCCTTGACTGCTGACATGTTAAGCGAGGCATGCCAAGTGGCCCGTGAACCATGGTTCACGGGTGAGTTCCCTAACTACTACTACTACTACTACTACTAGCTAGCTAAGGTCGATATAGAGATACCGACACCGGCAACTCTTTCTTTGGCAAGCAATGCCTTGCTAACTATTATATCGACCGAAAAAGAAAGAAGGTAATTTAACAAAAGAAAAACAATCTCATCCTTCCCTTTCTTATAGCGGCCTTTTCACTCACTCGTCCACTTGCACCTTCAAGGTATTGGTCAAAACTAGCTCTTGCAAAGAGGTATTAGCTCCGACTTTAGTTATAGCGTTAGTAGGGTTGGATTTTCCTCCGATCTAGCGTACTTTAAAGAGCTCCCGCTTCTCGTATGACTTTCGAATAGCTATAATATCGATCATTAAGCGCTTCTCCTTAATAGTCTCTAGCTTTATTATGCACTCGTAAAGCGAATAAGAGTCAGTGCACATAACTACGAGGAAATTAAGTACTTTTAGCTAGGCTATGATTTAAGCAAAAGTAGTCGATATAGCAATAGCTATATCGATACTTAAAGACATAGCGTATAGCTTAAAAGCTAGTACTGCCTTTATCACTCTTTTGCACTTTTGTAATACTTAATAAAAGATGTTACCCGTTAAAGTGAATTCGTTCTTACTTACGTAAGCCTTATTGCTAAGGATAGCTACGAAACCGATTTAAGAGCTAAGGTTAGCGTTGTTAGCAAACGCTCCGTTTACGAACACAAAGAGCTTCGTTGTCTTTAAGTCTAAGGGCACGTAATAGATCCTTCGTATTAAGTGATCGATCAGCTACTAGATCACTTTATTAAAAGCTTTATAGTCCTTATCCTTCGGTTCTTAATGCTAAGCAGCTATCGATAAAGCATAAGATGCTTTTAAATAGCAAATAATAGTTAAATACGTCCTTCGAGCACGTTGCTTTAAGTATTTCTTAGCTCGTATAGCTAAATCGAGCTTGATCACGGCAAGCCTCTTACTCTGCCTTTTCTAACTAATTAACACTCCGAACTCGTTTTTATCCAAAGATAGCTTGCATTTATTAAAAATCATCGGTTCGGCGTATATAAAGATCTTTATTTCTTTGCTCTTTAGCTTAGATTTGACCAGCTCTTTCTCTTCTTTTGCCTTTATAGCTAGATTGACAACCATAAGAACATCATCCGTTTATAAAGCAGCTATTCTTAGCTGATCCTTATTAGTTGATACAAAGAAGCAAGAATCAAAGCTCGATTACTTTATGCTGAAGTTGTTTATAAAGTGCTCGGAGAAACGCTTATACTAATGCGTCCTTGCTTCGAAGATGCCGTATAAAAGGCTAATTATAAAAAACAAAGTGTTAAAAAGGAATCGATAAGTGATCTCTTTAAGTAGTCGCACGACGATTATTCGGATAAGCTTTATGCTTGACTGAATATAAGCTTAAGTGATATCTTTGCTACAAACCTGACACCCGTAGTCTTTTATTAAAGAAAGAGCTAAAGCACAATAAAGTCTTTAGCCCGCTCGCTGCACCGTAAGTGACTCGATAAGTACTTTCGTTTTGCTTTTATCTTAAAAAACTTAGACTATTATACGAGACTTCTCGTATAACGTAAGTGTTCTTTTGCTCTTGATCTTATTAACAAATCTAGATCCGAAGATCTTAGCGCTTTTAGCGCGTAAGTCGGTGCTCGAGATCACTTAAAAAATGCTTTAAGCTATTAATCTAGCTAATTCTTTTGCTTTGGATTTTTAAAATAGTGCTTTAAAGCTTTTAATGATTCCTTCGGCTCGTAGCTTAGCTAAAAGCTTATAGTCCCGGCGTTCTTTATCGGTAACCAACACTTCGGAGTCCTTAGTGAATAGAACGTAAGAATCGCTCTCTTCTTCGTCGAGCACGGTCGAGATACTAAGATCGTACTTCTAATAAAGTATCTAAACTATTAGTATTATTGATCTTTAGGAATTGACAAGTTATGGAGGGCTGTTTGCTGATTTTAGCGAGCTTTTTAAATTAAGCGACCTCGGTGGATTAGGCGAATGTTGAGGTTTAGGCGAATTTCGTAGTTCTAGCTCTTTTTCGCTTTCACTCTGATCTTCTTCTACTTTTACCTTAAGTACTTGCAATTCCTTTGGCAGCTTTTTAACTTCAAAGTAATAAGGTTTTATTAAGGTTGACTTGAATTCCGTAGGTCTCGGACATGCTATTGTGTACGTGTGCCTTTGCTTGCTAAGCAGCTGAAAAGGGCCTTTCTACCCTTGGTTTTCTCGCCACACGAGCACTCGTGAGCTAATAAAGAGGTCTAAAGTATACTTCGTAATTAGCCTATTCCTTCTTTTAAGCGCGTCTTTAATCTGCTTGGCGGCGTGGCATTTCCGTACTTCCTTCATAGCCTTGTTAATAGCAGCAGCACGCTCTTAAGTAGACGCGGCAAGTCGATCTTGCTCCGTCAGCTTCGGTAAGGTCTTAAAAACGAAGAGTATAAGAACTAAGCTATTAAGTCCAGCTATGTCGTTGATAGCTTTGATAGCTATTTGAAGCCGATCCTCCTTTAAGGTCTTAAAAAGCTCTTTTGTGACGATCTTAAAAGCGCGTCGTATAAAGACGTAGTAGCGTTTTACTAGCCCGACGCTATGATAAGCTTCTATAAGCATCTGCTTTAAAGTGCTGCTAATACTTTTAAAGTAGCTTCGGAACGTTGCCGAATTGAAGTTGGTTCCGAGATCGTGTACGACGTTTATAAAAGGTCCGACGTAAGTATTGATTTAATATCGATTGAATTCTTTAAGTAAGTGCTGTGCGGACATGCTTTTAAAAAAAGTAGCGGCTTGAAAATTAGTAAAGTCGCAAACGACGTGCAATACGTTTTTGCCGTTAAAGTGCATCACATCGACGTATACCGTATCATTGAAGTCAATATTATCTTTAAGTCTAATACTAAACCTTTTCGGAAAGCGTCCGAATACTTGGCAATAATAGCAAAACTTTTAAATATTATAAAGCAAATCCCGTTTGAATTCGTGCCCGGCCCTTTTAAAAACAGCAGCAAATCGACTTGTTAAAAAGTGGCCAAAACGCTTATAAATAGTCTTCAATTGCTCTTCCGTAAAGTAGCAGTATACGGTCTCGCTTTCGATGCTGTAGTAAGTAGCAGCTCGCTCTTTACTTAGTAGCATTTATACGTATTTAAATATCTTTATTACTAGTATTTCCTTTTTCTCTTAGACTAGCACGTTCCGCAAGTTATTTAAGATCACTTTATGCTTATCTATATTAACTAACGAGAATAAAAAAGGTACGTCGCTCTTTATAACGTAGAACTCTACTTGACCTAAAAGGGTATTTAAGGTAATTGCTTTAATAAAGATGACAAAGCCGATCTTGTACTTAACGGATTTCTCTTTTGCTCGAGATATATCTAATTAAACCTCGAAGTACTTCTTTTAAAGTGCTTTTAGCTAGAGCAAGCTAGCAGTAAAGAAATTAGCTGCTCCGCTATCAATCATAAAGCTTATAAATACGTTTTTAAAGTACTTAAAAGCTATGTAAGTCTTTGCTTTGCTCGCGAGCACACGCGGATCTTGCTCGGGCATCTTTTAAGTCTTTACTTAGCTAGTAAAGGCGTAAAATGCCGTTTGAATCTCTAGCTGTTTATATACTTCGTTAGCGTTAAAAGTGCCGTAAGTAGTCACAAAACCCTTCGACATATTAGCGTAGCTGCTCGATTCGAGCGGTTCGTCTAATAAGCTTACGATGAACTAATCGAATTCTTTTGTAGATACAAGTAGCAAGCTTTTAATCGATGCTATGTATTAAAAAAATTTGCTTTTCGTCACCCTTTTTGCGTCTTTAAAAGCTTAGAACTTAGCGACGGATGCCTTTTTCTTGTCGAAGGTGTAGTTAGTGCTTTAGCAACTTAGCTTTTTGCAAACAAAACACCTTTTCTCACCTTCCGTAATAGCTTTAACAGCTTTCTTACCTCCGAAATATTAGCGGTCTTGAATAAAGCATTCGTATTCTTCGTTTAAATCGGAGTTAGCCTTTAAGGTGTTGTAAGAGCAAGTGTGATCGTGTGGCTCGCTAGAGCTCGCGTAAGCTCTATTCGCTTTGGCGGAAGGTCGGAAGGTCTTAGTTGCAAATGCTATTGCTCGTCGTATATCGGTAACTACAGCGATAAAAGTAAAAGCAAGGTTCATCCGCGCAATAGTCGTCTCTAGCACGTTTTTACAAGCTGAATACAGCTTGTCGGCAAGACTCTTATCGTCTCTTAAGCTTGGTCGTAATAAGCTTTAAATGCCTTTAAGCTCTTTAACGAGCTTTTCAAAGCACTCGCTAAGCGAAGTCCTTAGATTCTTTTTCTTGATCATATCTAGCGAAATTTCCTCTTAACGGTCGTATTTTGCTTGCCGCCGGTAGTCAGTCTCGAAGTGGTCCTTTACCGCAATAGCATTAGCTTTAAATGTCGGAAGCCTAGCCTTAATGACGTGATTATAGTAAAAGGTAATAGCTTTCTTCGTAAGTATAATAAAGAACGCCGCTAAATAGTCGTCGAAAGTCAACTCGTATCGGCTTGCTTAATTAGCAAAAATCTTTAATTGAGTCTTAAAGTCATCGTCGAGTTTTAAATACTTTAGCTCTTTAAGAAAGCTTCGCGCGAACAAAGCTAATTCCTTCGCTCTTAAGTGAAGGTCTGCTGCCCTTAGCTTAAGGAAATCGTTTCTATTATCGTTAAAAGCGCTTAAAGTGCCGTACGCAAGCGTGCTTTGCTTAGCTAATAGTCTGATCGATAAAAGGTTACCGATATAGTTGCCGGTGGTCCGTCTTCTTTTAAGGTTCTTAAAAGGCTCATTTCCGAATCCGGAGTCCTTTAAAAGTCCGTTTCCGAATCCTTTTAATAGTCTAGAAAGGCCGTTCTTACCTCTTCCGTACCCGTAGCTTCGATCTCTTTGCTAATCTCTTTCGTTTTCTCTTCGTCGGTCATCGCTAAAATCGCTAAAGCTATTCGGTTCATCGATTAAAGCTCTAGCTTAATGATATCTGTACTCTTAAGCACGCTCTTAGCGATTCTTATACTTTTAATATCCTTTTTATCGATACGTGGCTTGTTAAGGGATCTAAAGAGCTTGTTAGTACGTCCGAGGGTGCTAGATCCCTTTTTCAGGTTATTAAGGCTGGGCATAAAAATCTGCACGCTGTTTCTAGTAAGAGCTGATTTTGCCCGGAATGCTCTCAGGTTTTAGCGGGTCTTTTTTTAGCGTATAGCTGCTATTGCCTTGCGTATTGTCAGGCCTAATTATGTTTTCGGGGCCGTTGTTGTTGCTACTCGGCCTTGGCTTTTAGGAAACTCGGTTGTAGCTCTTGAAAAAAGGGTTTGAGGGTCGCTGAAGTGATTTTGGCTCTTCTTGAATAATTGACGTATTGCGTAGCGATTGATAGATTAAGGGAGTTGAGTACGCTGAAGTGCTTCGTCGTAGCCCTTCGTTGGATTGTATAGCGTAGGTCCGTAATTCCGCCATTTGCTTTACTATCACTTTTATATTTTGCTCTATATTCTTCTTTTCCTTCGCAAATTCCTCGCGTAACCTCCGAATCTCTTCCTTTTCTTCCTTTTCCTTCCTTTTTAGACTTCGTAAGGGTAGTAGAAGTGGTTGAAGCGTATTATCTTCGTCGTCCGTAAGGTTTTCGGCGGTCCACTTTAAATCGAAGCTTAAAGGTTTTGCTTGTTGCTCTTTTATTTCTTAAAAGGTCTATTAGTATTGCTGCTCGTCGTTCAAGAGCTTGACTATCCTATTAGCGTAGCCCTTTTGCTTTAAGGGGTACTATACGCCTTTAAACAGCAAGTGTTCTTTAAGGCTAATAAAAGTAGCAAACTTAAGGCCTCGTCTCGTATTGTCCTTCGTTATTATAAAACTAGTCTAATCTTAACGTAAGAAAGCGTGCCGGAATAAGCTTTACAAGTCGTAATCCTTTAGCCTTTTATACTTCGCATCCAAGAAGTCGTTCATTATCGCTCGAGCCGTGATCTTATTATTTAGCCTTGCGTATAATAGCTCGTTTAAATCAAATGAGATGCTCGACATTTCGTCGTCTGGTCTTTCCGAAAGGCTTAAGAGTCTTGGGTATAATAGTCTTTTTAGCTGAATAGCTAAGGGTTCCGTAAGTAATGATAAGACTCGAAAAGTATAATACCTTACTGCTCCTTGTCGGCTAGACTTTCTACTTAAAGGTCCAGTTGCTCGATCGGCTATAGTTGTTGTCTGTTTATGTGTAGGTCGATCTAAATTGGTTAGGTTGCTATATATAGCAAGCGCGGCTCTTATAGCGTTGTTGTTTTGAAAGTGACTTGGTTCGGAATCACTCTTCCGTAAGAATAAAGAAAATCGGTAGTATAAAAAGCGACTTGATACGGAATCGCTCTTCCGTTATAAAAGGAAGGAAGTATCGTAGTAAAAGATATCCTCGCTATAGAGTCCTAGCTTCTTTGTGATTGATCACTTAGTAGTAATTCAATCATTGATTAGTGTTGGATTGCTTCTAAGCGATTAAGAATATATATTCGTAACTTCGTAAGGTCGTCAAAGTACTTGCAATTGCAAAACACTCGGTTGATAAAGTATCTGAATTCTGTTTGCTCCTTAATGCTCAAGGGAGCTGATTCCTTTTATATGATTAGAAGGAATTACGTGCACTAGCTAGCTAATAGTTTTACTTGTCAAGTTGGGGGTCCCTTGACTGCTGACATGCTAAGCGAGGCATGCCAAGTGGCCCGTGAACCATGGTTCACGGGTGAGTTCCCCAACTACTACTACTACTACTACTACTAGCTAGCTAAGGTCGATATAGAGATACCGACACTATAATCGAGCAAAAGAGGCTAGCTACAAGTACTAACCGCACTTTATTAAGTAACCTTTTTAATACTCGAAGCCCCGCTATTTTGCTAACCATACGTCTTTTCTCGACTTCGGTATTAACTTTCGGTAAAAAGATCAATATTGAATACTAAATCTTCTTATCACTTAACACAACCGTCCTTTTTTACGTCAGATTACTTAAACCACTTCGAGCAAGAACTAGCGATTACGTCAAACAGATTAATAACTTTTCGAAAGTATATTAAGACATAGAAAAGAAATATAAAAGCGCTGAATACGAAGTCTTTATTAACAAGCTTAAGATTTTCTATAAAAACTGCACACGCTTAAGCATTTTTTAAAGCGATAAGGTGAGCTACGCAATAGCTTTCTTTTTAATGCTTAAGGACGAGGCACATTAATACTATATAATTGATATCTATAGCAAAGATATAAAGTTCTAGATAATGATTGCATTCATGAAGTCCAAGTTTAAGGTCTCGGAGTCTATTTAAAAGTACTTATCGGAATAAAGATCATTTATATTTTAATTAATAATAAGTCTTAAAAAGAACGCCGATAAAAATAAGACGGAATGCTTTACGCTAATAGTCAAGAAGCTCTCTTTTATTCAGCGCAATTTGACCTTCGAATATCACTCCGATAAAGCTTTAAAAGACGTGATTTTAAGCGCCGTACAAAGCGTTTTTGAATATGCGTTTGCTTAATATAATCTCGCACTTACGACTACCGCTTTTGTTTCTTAGCTACGATTATCGATTGTTACTATTACGACGACTAGACTTTCTACCGCTTACTTTATCGATGCTATCGAGTCAAACGATTAATATAAAAACGAAGTTTATTACGTAAACCGCTAGTACAAAAGCAGCGGAAGCAATAAAAGTTATAGCTATAACGGTAATAGCAGTAAAAGCTTTAAAGGCTATATTAAAGAAAGATATAATAGAATTAGCAATCGAGGTTAAGGTAATCGAAGCAACTACAAAAGTAATAGTAAAAGAAAAAGAAGCGCAACAACTCGTGCTAATCGCGTTGATAAACGCTATTTTGTTTGCGGCGAGTTAAGTCACTTCTTTACTTAGCATAATAGCAAAGAGCGTAAGAAATCTTACGACAATTAAAGACGCTAAGCTTAATATTATATAAAGGACGTAAGACTTAAAAAGTATACTTACTACTTCGTATAAGTTAAAAAAGTATAAAGCTTCGATTAGTAATTCTAAATCACTTTTGATTAGCAATCAGCGGCCGCAACTTAATTCTCTATTGAATTAAGAACTATTGACGGCCAACACTTAATAGTAGCGTTGCTCGAGAACGCAACTTATTATACCTTTACTTTTATCGACTTATTTAAACCACTTTTAAATATCGTTTTTTTAAAGCACTTTTTACTCGACCGATACTCGGCTTATAAATTTTAAAAGTTTATTTTCGATTCTAAAGTAGCCAACCTTTCTATTGCAAAAGAGCAACAAGTTAAGGCTTTAAGCAAGCTCTTCTTTCTTCGAATCAACCGAAGAACGGCCGATAAGAATACTATTAAGTTCGAAAGCAACATTATACGTATTACAAGCTTTATAATAATAAATACCTTCTTTAAATCAATCGAATTCTATATTGTTAGTATAAAGACCTTTTTCTTCATCTTACTCGAAGATATAAACCGACTTTAAATTTACTATAATAATCTTGATAATATACTCGTTTAAAGCAACAAGTGTATTCTAATGATTCGTAAATAAAGCTACTTATTCTTTATGCTACAACTTAAAAACGCTTTTGCGAACGCGCACTTTACGGAACAAGAACTACGCTAGTTACACCGCAGATTCAGCTATTTATCTGTTTTACGCTTGCAAAAAGTTCTTAACTTTAGCGGTTACGATAATGCTAATCTTAATACTTTAAAAAAAATCGAAAAGTTCTATTATCAATATTAAATGCATAGTGCAGCTTCGAGCCGATACAAGTTTACTTTAAAAGATGACTTAAAGTTCAATTACTTTATTATTATAAACGTAATGCATTTAGACGGCAAACTAGTATTATACGTCGTCGACTTAACTATCACTTTTTAAGCTAAGCGCTTCTTAAAAGACATGTCGGCTATTATTACTTAAAACGCGCTTAAAGAATGCTAGATTAACAGCTACCTCGATCTTTTCGACTTAATTATTTACGACTTAAGAACGAACTTTATAATAACTAAGTTCCGCGGTCTAGCTAAGATGATGTCTATCGACATTAGCGAAATGCTTACGAAAGCTTATAATAACGTAAGAAAAGTAAAAAGATATTATTAACCTTTACGACGAGCTTATAAGATCATCTCAGAAAAGATATAAAACTTAAGAGTGATTAAAGAATAGATCTTGCAAATAACAATCAAAGCCGTTAACGATACCGCCGAGCCAGCAAGCTTAGTACTTATTCTCCTCGTATTTAAGGTTTACCCTCGCATAACTTACTTAAATCCACTAGCCCCTTCTACTATTACCAAAGCAGAAGCTATCAAAAAAGCTATGTCGGAAGTAAGAAGATTGCAAGCTATAAGACAAGTAGCAGACGCTTTAAATATACGCAACGGACCTTTTACGATTAAGACGCTAGCTCTCTTTTTGCAAAGCCAAGTAAAAGTATAAAGAGAAAAGAAAAAAGACTAGCGCGCGCAATAGACTAATCCTTATACCTTTATTGCGATAAAAGGCTATACGTGCACGATCTAAGTCAATAACAAAGCAGTCCAATTCAAAGCTACGATAGTCAAGTTATATTACTAAGAAAATACTGCTTAAAAAGAGCGTCTCGAAAAGAAAGGACTACTAGTAGAACAAATAAAAGAGGCGCTACGTCGAAGTAGCAAAAACAGACGACCTTTAAAGCGTTATTGCACGGAGGCTGAAAAACTAGCGCAATTTCTTACCGCTTCAAGTGACACTTTCTTGACTCGGAAAGAGCAAACAGACCGAGAGCTAATTACGAAGCTACGAGCCGAAAGTGTGATTACTACTCTTAACGAGATTTTCGAAGACTTATAACAGCGTAAGATCGAAAGCTTGATTGCACAAAGCGTATTTGAATTTATCTTATACGACTTTATAAAGCACGCAAAAGAGCGTATTTTTAGCTTTCGTCTTATCAACGAGCTCAAAGGCAAAGAAACAGCAACTTTATTCGAAAAGTCACGACTCGTTATATAAGCTTTCGCCGACGAAAGAAAAAAAGTAATTTTTACTTAATCTTCCGCTATACAACGCTCGAGCCAGCGCCTTATTACTGCATTAGCGCTAGCACTTTCACTGCTAAGAATTTCCTTTTACTTTCGTAATATTACGCAAGCTTATACTTAAAGCGATCACTTATTAAATAAGCTTATCTTAGCACGCTTATCGAAAGAAATAATAAAGTTTTACTTTAAAAGAACAATCATAAAGATCCGAAAAGCATTATATAAGATTCTTAAAGCAAGTACCTTTTAATAGTCAACATACTACACTTATTACAAAAAGAAGCTATCTATAATCACTTCGACTTACGACCTTTGCCTTTTAATTTATATTAAAAAAAGCATGTTTAAGCTCGTAAAGATGCAAGTAGACGATATTTATTACTTCGTCGACGATCGATTTATAACTAAAAAGAAGTTAGAACTTAAGAAAGCCGGCTTAAAAGCTAAAAATAAGACCAAGCTGACTTATACTACCGATATTAAGTTTAATAGCTGTATTTTAAAGCTATAGAAAGACGATACTATGCTCTTCACACAAAAATAGCAAGGCTAGAAGCTCGTTCTCGTCTCCGATAGACTGAACTACAAGCAAGAGTACTTCGAGCAGCGCGTACGCAGAGCATATATTGCTTCTACTTGCTAACTTAAAGCTTTATTTGCTCTTTTAATAGCAGCTTAGCACAAAGACCTTAGCAAAGACGAAGTGGCAGCCTTTAATAAGTGCCTTTAATAAATGATTAGCAACTAAAGCAAAGAGCTGAAATACGTTCTTATCGACCTTCGCTTAGCTAAGCTTTTTATATTCGTAAATAGCTCTTTTGCAAACAACAAAGATCTATCTAGCTAACTTAAGTACGTGATTATCTTAAAGAACGAAACACGTACGACCGAAAAGACTTTTAAAGTCACAAGCAACGTAATGCACTACAGCTTTACGAAAAGTAAAAGAGTTATTAAGAGTGTTTTAGCTTTAGAAATCCTCGGAATAATAGCTAGAATAAACATTGCAGTTGCTTTAAATACTATTTTAGATCAGATCACCAAACAGCTCTCGTTATTAAAGATACTAATAATAATAGCTACCGACTCTTACTTATTTTACGAGTATTTAATAAAGCTCGACACAACTAAGGAAAAGAGGCTCATGATCGATGTAATAGCCTTACGATAATCTTACGAGCGTAAAAAGATCGCTGAAATACGCTAGATTAACGAGAAGAGCAACTTAGCTGATTATATGACTAAAGCAAATCCGAACAAAGCTTTAAAAAGCTTCATCGATTGTAATACGCTAGAAGTGCGTATTAAAAGATAAGTGAATCGAGAGTAACAAAAGAAGTAAAAAGTTCGGCAGAACTTCGAGACGCAAGAATTTGTATAAGTATAATTAAAGCGTTCTTTACAACAAATAAAGAACTGTTAATATCGGAATACAACGGCCTTTACAAGCATGCAGCGGATAAGAATAAAAGAAACGATAAAGGTAATAGTAGACTTGGCACGTAAAGGTGGCACGTACACCCGCGGTCTTCTTAAAAGACCGCCACTACCAGTATAACAATACCAGACATCTACAACACAACCAATACCCAAACTGATAGTACTATTGCTCTAAATACCACTTTAGATCAGATCACCGAACAGCTCTCGTTACCAAAGATACCAATAGTAATAGCTACCGACTCTTACTCACTTTACGAGTGTTTAATAAAGCTCGGCACAACCAAGGAGAAGAAGCTCATGATCGATGTAATAGCTTTACGACAATCTTACGAACGCAAAGAGATCGCCGAAATACGCTAGATTAACGAGAAGAGCAACTCAGCTGATTATATAACTAAAGCAAATCCGAACAAAGCTTTAAAAAGCTTCATCGATTGCAATACGCTAGAAGTGCGTATTAAAAGATAGGTAAATCGAGAGTAACAAAAGAAGTAAGAAGTTCGGCAGAACTTCGAGACGCAAGAATTTATATAAGTATAATTAAAGCGTTCTTTACAACAAGTAAAGAACTGCTAGTGTCGGAATACAACGGCCTTTACAAGCATGCAACGGATAGGAATAGAAGGAACGATAAAGGTAATAGTAGACTTGGCACGTGAAGGTGGCACGTGCACCCGCGGTCCCCTTAAGGGACCGCCATTACCAGTATAGCAATACCAGACATCTACAACACAACCAATACCCAAACTGATAGTACTATCAAACACCTGTGTACCAACATTTCTTTTTAACTTTTAATACTTAAGAATATTTTAAAGTTTGTTTTTAAATTGCAAAAAGCTGATTAACGGCCGCTTGATCTCGTCTTTTAACTTTTCGAAGCTTATTTGCTTAAAGAATAAGCGGCTACACCTTTACATCATCTCTTGAATTTAAAGGATCTTTTGATAAGGCTTTTTCTTGCCGTTTAAGCTTGCAAACAACTTCATTTTCTAACGTTTCAGACCTCTTTTATTCTTTTCGAATTGCTTTCGTTTCGGTAGCTCGAAAAATAATAAGTAAAATATTAAACCGCCGACTTTAAAGCAATACTACAGCCGACTTTACTCGACCAAACGAAGCAATAATACTTTATTACAACTTTATTAAACGTCTTCGAAACGAGCAATGAGATATAAATAATCAAATACTTCCGAAGCTTATTATAAGTGTTAAAGACTAGCTCGATAACTTTAATTACGTTAAAGTAAAAGCGCAAGTAAAAGCTTTAAATATAAAGAAAGCGGATACGTAACGTATTATCTTTTAATACTTCGAAATAAACGATAAATTTATCGCATCGATTTAAAGCATAACGGACAAAGCTATTGCTCGCAAAATTACTAAGAAATCTACGAACTTTATTATTATTGCTTTTTACGCTAAGTCCGGCGGAAAGATCTTTGCTTTTATTCGTATTCGCAGCGAATCTTTTACTTACTTTTTATTAAGACGCTTTTATTACTTTTTCTTATTAACTTTGCGGAAGCAGCGGCCGAGAAAGTCGATTTGACTTTAATAAAAGCTAAGCTTTAAGTTAAAGCTTTAATTAAAAAAAGCGGACTTAATTAAACTTTATCTTCGAATAAAGCTTCGCTATCGTTAGCTTTTATATACTCGGAAAAACTCGACTTTCGAATCTTTATTATAATTATAAACGAAGTTAAGCGCAATCGACTTTAATATTTTTATGCTTTGCGTAAAGCGCTAATCCATTCTTTTCGCGATTTTACGATAGACTTTATTATTAAAATATACGCAACTTAAATCGGATAATTACTTTTAATTAAAGACTTATAAACACGTAATACTTTTATTAATTAAAAAAGAAAAGAAACGGTTAAGCGTTTTTTATTCGCGATTAAAGTCGAAATACTATAGCTTTAATATAATTACGCGGTTTATTATATCTTTTATCTTATGCACGTCTTTAATAAAAACGGCGAGTTAAAACTAATATTAATTAAAGACTTTGTTTTCGATAAAATAGTTGCATAAACGAAATAAACGCTAATCGAAATCAAAATCGGCGATAAAAGCGTCGACTTTAAAGCTTTTAACGTTATTATAACTTTAATCGTTTTTTTTTTAAAGAAAGTAAAGCTCTTTCGCTTTTTTAATACAAAAGATATAATTAAATTAATTAAAAAGAAATACAAAATCACGAAACACGATTTAAAATGCTAAAGCTATTACAACTCCGTTAAGTATATTCGATACTTTCGCTATAACAAATGCAATTAAAAAATCGATTAACACGACGGCTTAGCTTATAGCGATTATATAGCGCCGGCGAAGTGCGCGAATTATTATAGCTTTTTCGAAGCTAAGCATTAAAACTATTTTGTTATTTCGTATAAGAAGGACGGCAAACTAATACAGCTTATAAAAGAAGAGCTCGCGGCTATCCGACGAATTAGCGTTAAAAATTATAAAGAAAAGCACGTACGTAATAACACTTTATGCTTTACTTCCGCAGCTCTTATAAATAGCGTTATTATTATTATTACTAGCAATAGCACTTTTAATACAAACATTTCGGCACATCTATTGCGTTAAATACAAAGCTTAAAAGCAATTAATATTATAAATATCGATATAACGAAAGCTTTTGTAACGCGTAAGCGCGTTGCAAAACAAAAAGTAACGGAATACGAACGTATAACTTCGATCTTTATCTTTACTTTTAGTAGTCGCTTAAAAGCTTAAAAAAGTTATAAAGTAATTAAGCAGAAACTAAAAGTTAAGCTTAAAATCTTACTTTTAACGAACGCGGATACGGACTCGAAAAACGAACTTACTTTTTAATCTACATAATAAGTAGTACACCGATACGAACCGACCACGGTTATACGATACGGTCTAAGCTCGATATACACGTTAAATAAGCTAATATAAGACGCTTTATACTTAATTATTAAATCATACTTTCTTTAGCGCATAAGCATAAAATAAATATAATATGCGTGCAAAAACTAATTACTTACTTTAATATAAAGATATAAACACACTTCGCTTTTAACATCTATTTTTTAATAAACTTATAAAGAACTTCGAAAAACAATTTTAAAGTTAAAAAGCTTCGAGTCTTTATATATATTCGCAAAAGAGCTAGACTTTATATAAAGCAGCGACGATCGGTTTAAAGTAAAGATATGCTATAAATCGACGTTAATAAATATATTATTTTTAACGCTTATAAACAACCGATTATTAATAAAATTATCGACTACGTCTTACACTTTACTTTTAATCACAAGTGCTTAATAAAAGAAAACTTTAATATATAATGTGGAAGGGAAGAGCTCCGACATATACTTAACGTCAAATCAAGAGATATATATGAATATAGCTATGGTAGAATCGTAGGTGAATAAGGAGGGAAAAGGAGGACGATCGAAGGACACTCGAATGTGTGCTGTAAGTACGTGTATTATATTGTGTGGTAATGTGTTTTTGGTTTAAGGAAGAACTAATTACTCGTTTATATAAGAGCTTATACGTGACTTAACTACGTGACTTAACTACGTGACTTAACCACGTGCTTAGCAGGGCTAGAGCATGCAGCGCACTTACGTGACAAAGGTGCTTAGCATTAGTATTATATATATAGATAAAACAAATACAAAGCTTTAACTTTATTATATACGTCTTTTTTTCGAATCAGACTCGCTTTCGAGTCACTTTTTATCAAGGTAGTAAAGTTAAGTTTGCAAGACGAGCATATGGCCGAATTGCACGGTCGCAATATAATTTTAAAGTATTATTTAATAATGCATCGCCGGATCGATATTAGTACAAAGCGTATATGATATAATAAAGAAGATAAAAATAGCAACGAAAATGCAAGATAATCTTTCGGATTTAACTCTTTTTTATATCTTTTATAGCACTTTTATTTAATTACAAGAATAATATTAATTCGAGCGTTAGTATTATTGTTAAGACAAGCGTGCGCCGGTTTAAGCGGTCAAGTGCTGACGTATTGCCGAATCGGTAATAGCGCGGGGCTTAAAGCGGTAACGTAATAAAGAAAACAAAAGCGGCAATATATACTCGAAGTCTTGCTATAAACAGTCAATTCTTTTCTTATATTAACTTTATACTCTTTTATCTTTTTTTTAATATCACTATTTATTAACTTTATCTTTTATTATTATATTATCGATCTGCTTTCAGTGCGTAAGCTACGCAAATAGAACTATCGATAATGCTACGAATCGGTGCATCTTCTTTGCTAATAAATCTATTAAATGCGAGCGTTGCTATGCTATTAAGTCAACTTACATTTCCGTAAGTTATTTTACTTTTTGTTTTATACTTGTTTTGACTTTAATTCGATAGCTTTTCGCAAAAGTCGTTAGTGTTAGCATAATCTTGATAAATACGATGATAGTTATAAATAATAGAATTAAGACGGCCGACGACGTTTTTCGTAAAAGCATAGTTGCAAATAACTTTTTTATAAAAACCCGCCGTGCTCTTGCTTTTCGTATTAATAATGCTTTCTTTTCTTTTCGAGTTTATATCGCCGCTGCTTTTTTTGCCGCCGCTAATGCTAAAAGTCTTTTAGCTAGCTTAAGTCTTATCTTAGCGTTACGCTTACTTGCCGCCGCTATTACCGTCGATTTAATTTCGCTAGACTTGTTGCGTTAAATCTTAATTGTAATAAATCAGAATAATACTTTGCTAAGTAAATTTTTTAGCTGCGTAAGTGTATATTGCGAACCTTTTATGATTTTCTTTCGATTTGATTACGATAAATTGCCGAAAAGTCTTCGTCTCTTTTATCTTTATCTTCGGAATCGCTAACACTTTTTTAAGCAAAAAAGCTTTGCCGAAGTGCCCGCTAAGCTTTTAATCGCGGCAATACCGGTAGTTCTTTTTCGCGAGGTTCTAGCCGTAGCAATACTTGTGATTTTATAAAAGGTTCGAGTCGTAATAATATCGGTAAGACTTCGAGAAGTAAGAGTAGTACTTAAAGTGCTACGGAAGGCTCTCGCATTATTTTATTTAGCTTTAAGTTATAAGGTCGAAAAGGTTTTTATCGCGTGTCGGCAGCTTGCTAAGTAGTTAATATAATAGATTTTTCGTATGCTTTTTTTGATTAGCTTCCGAGTAAGGTCCGCTTTATATGTATGATATGCTTGTATATAATAGATCGAAGGCATATAAGTATGATAACGTAAAGCTCTTTAATATAAAGAAGGAAATAAAAAGAGTATAAGAAGAAGGAAAACAAAGAAAACTAAACTTAAATAAAAAAAAATTAAAAATTAAATCTAAACTCGTTTTTCTTTTACGTATAGTCATGCCTTTAT